CTGGGCTTCGCTCGGCTCAGGTTTTCCCTGCCATCATGAGAATTGGAAGCGTAATGTGCTTTTCTTTTTTTTCTAAATAGAAAAATATAGATTCATACATAAGGATCAGTCCCGAGCATCCCTGGCAAGGGGAAAAGCCAGATCCACACACCCACGGTCACCATTATCACAGTAAAAATAGTGACAGCTGACAACTGCTGGGTTCTCTTTGTGCTACAGGGCTCCTCCCTCATGCTTCTATTTCCTCTTTATATATAAAGCAGAGGGGAATGTTTGTGTTCGGTGTTTTGATATATTACTCCTTGCATCCCACAGCAAGGTTTAAATTTTGGGGTCACCGGGGGGGATGTGGAAAGCCTGTGCCAGCCCTGGGCATCTGGCCGGGGAGAGGCAGCCCAGAACCCCTCCTGGGCCACTGCTGAAAGACTGGCAACACAAAGAGCACAAAAGAAATTATGAGTTCATATCTCCACCCTCACTAAAAGGAGTCATGCCACAAAAAGGAAGATTTGATGTGATGCCGTGGCAGGTGACAGGAGTGCTGATGAGCAGGTTTCACCCAGGGATTTTTCCATTCAGGGCTTTCATTCCTGGTGGCTTTTCTACAGCAATTTGTGTTAAACAGCTTCTCCTGAAGAAAAGGCTTTTTGTTACCCAGATAATTTTTTTTCTGAGAGCTCATCTTTACATCTTCCCATAATCCAAACCTCTTCACACCCTGATAAGAATTCAGTGCCAGTGCTGGTGCTGGCAGCGAGCGACTTCCTGGTGTGTGCTCTTTGCACCGAGCAGGTTTCAAAGTGGGGCAGCTTTGGGAGCCTCTAACTAAAACAAAAATGTTGGCCAAGCCCGTATAGTGAAGGGTCTGATGGGGCAGGAATCCCCAGCTTTACCCAGGCAGCCCCACGGTGATCATGTAACATAATCCAAACCTCTTCACACCCCAATAAGAATTCGGTGCCAGTGCTGGTGCTGGCAGCGAGCGACTTCCTGGTGTGTGCTCTTTGCACCGAGCAGGTTTCAAAGTGGGGCAGCTTTGGGAGCCTCTAACTAAAACAAAAATGTTGGCCAAGCCCGTATAGTGAAGGGTCTGATGGGGCAGGAATCCCCAGCTTTACCCAGGCCGCACCACGGTGTAGCTTAGTCATAGAATCACATAATGGTTCTTTATTTTTTTCCCCATAAATGGCAGTTCTTCGTTTCTGGCACAGAGTGTTGGCTTTAGGTAAATATCCAGCTTTCATCAGGACTTTAGTTATACTGAATTAAAAATAACATCCTCAGCATTCCCTCAGTAGGGACATATTTTAGCACTAGATGCGTTCAAGGTTTCATCAGAATCCCAAAGCTGCGCTGATAGACCTTCCAAGCAGGAGTCAAGGCAAAAGGATCAACTTTTGTGGTTTCTAATGAAATCAACCATTCTGTTCCTCCTAGCATCCCTGTGCAGCAGTTCTCCTGCACACATCTCTGCTCCTTCCCCTCTGTCTCCTTAGCATTTTTCTTTCTCACCATTTTGTGCATTTCACAACGAACAGAATTTGCCACATCTCACTGTATTTTCTCACTCTGTATTCCAACCAAAATCTTGATTTCTGCCATGCCTCCATTTTATCACCCCATCACACACTCCTCTTTTTGCCTCTCATCACAAAACCTGGAGTTGGCATCACCCTATGCCCCCATCTCACCCCATTTCCATTTTCAATCGCACTCCATCTTCTGCATTGCACGTACGTCAACATTTATATCTCAGCAACAACAGGGTCAGCCTTTTCCTACACTGAATTTCTACAATGAGCACATTTCATCCACATCAGTGGATGTGGCCCCAAAAGCCAGGGAAAGGCCTCATGGTCGCTGTCAAGTGGGATCCTGGGCTGGGGCACATCACCTCCATTCCCCACAGCTCCTTCCATCTCAGGAGAGCTGCACGTCCCCTCCAGCCCAGGAAAGCCAGATGCAAATGTGAGCAACCATTTCAGGCTTTTGGGGACATGAGCATCTGCCCTTCGAGCTGTGTCACGTCCTAAGGAGTCCCTTGGAGGTACTGGGCTCCCCAGGGCACGGGGGGTGCATCCTGCTGTTGTAAGTCCCTTGGAGGTACTGGGCTCCCCAGGGCATGGGGGGTGCATCCTGCTGCTGTAAATCACGACAGTGTTCTGTTAACGGTTGGACTCGATGATCTGAAAGGTTCCTTCCGACCTGGACAGTTCTATGACTCTATGATTAATAAATGCAAGTTAGATCAAGCCGTTTCCCCATCCCTCCCCTCCCCAGCCACTGTGGCTGTTGGACATCTTTGCGGTGAACTGCAGAGAAGGCATTTTCTACCTGCAAGGTCATCCCCTGTCTCGCCACAGGTTCCCTGCTCCAGTGGGCATTCCCCTTCAGGGGTCTGCTGGAGGAGTCCTTGCACAGAGGACCTGCCTGGCCCATCCTCCCAGGCCCTTGCTTTCTGTCTGGAGAATAGAAAACACTCAGATGTTACCTCAGGATCTTCCTGTGGAGGATACTGCTGCTCCCTACTTCATGCTCTGACCCGCTGGATCAAAGAGCAAATCCAGACCTTACATGAACATGTAAAGGACCTTCGACATAGAATCACAGAAGTGTTTGGGTTGGAAGAGAGATGAAGAACCACCCAGTGCCACCCCCTGCCCTGGACAGGGACACCTCCCACCACACCAGGTTGCTCCAGGACCCCTCCAACCTGCCCTTGAACCCCTCCAGGGATGGGGCAGCCACAGCTTCTCTGGGCAACCTGGTCCAGAGAAGTTCTGGTCCACACCAAAGAAGTTCTTCCTAATTTCTAATCTAAATCTCCTCTCTTCCAGTGTAAAGCAATTACACCTTGTTCTCCCTGATCAAGTGTCCCTCCCCAGCTTTCCACGTGCAAGTGCAAGAGCACCCAGATGTTTTGCAGACAGAAGTGCTGCATGTTAGACACGTTAAAAGCAGCATTAGCACTTACCTGCTTCACTTTGACAGGGAGCTGTTGGGTTCAACCATCCGTACCAGGGCCAAAAAGCTTCTGTGGGACCTGCTCCTCCTGCAGCTGAAGGGGAAAAGACAGCTGAACCTCTAAAACCAGTGAAACACCCTCTGTTCCCCCAGAGCTCACCCTGCAGTGGGTGTTCTCTGCATGTTTCACACTCCCCACCAGCCCCTCCGTGTGATCACGTGGACACCGGGGGGTTTACAGACATCAGGGGTCTTTGGGGGGAAGATGAAGTCTTCTGCAGAAACGATAAAGCTGGAGCAAGAAAAAGGAAGAGAAAGGGATGGTTTTTGCAGGATCCCCGACCATGGCAGCAAAGCTCTGGAACTTCTCTACTGAAGAAATGGGAGCACAGATGGATGAAAACCTCTATCTGCATCCAGCTCTGGAAGCACCAAACAGGGTTTGTAGAGGTGACCTGCACCTTTCCAGCTTCGTTCCCAGAGTAAACATTTTTCCTACATATGAGGGGAGGTACTAAACCATCAAAGTTAAAGAGCAGCTTTGGATCAGCCATGCTCTGACTCTTACTTCTGACACCTTCCAACCCCTTCCTCTCCTCCTTCAAGAAGCTGCCAACAACACCCTCAACAGTTACAGGAGCGTGAAACAGATCCCAAGCACCCTGAGCAGGAACAACCGGGCTGTTTCTCAAGCTCTAGGTCAGGGTTTGCCTCTGCAACCCATGAAAACAAGTTGGACCTCGGTATGAGGAGCTATCTGCTTTTCATGAACAAAATAGCCCAGCTTCAGAGCTGTTTGGAAAGCCTGTGGTGACACTCTAGCTCCCACCCTCAGGTGTTCTTCCAGGTCTTCGACAGCAAAACATCTTCTCCCCAGGTCCTCCCAGACCTGGCTGGGGAAGCAGATGGAGACAAACCAACCCACTTGTTGAAGCCAGAGACCAGAGAGGCTGGTAGAGTGGTCTGCACCCTGGTCACTCACCAGCTGGGCTGTGGAGGAACATCTCCAGCTCCAGTGTGACCAGCGGTGCAAGAACAGACATTGGCCCCAGGGCGGGCAAGTAAAAGCTAAGCCAACCTCAGCTCTGCTGCTTCAACCACTTGGTGTGACCAGCTCCTGCCAGTGCCTTTTCTTCTGCATCAGAGCATCCTGCTCCGGCGTCTGTGGGCTCCAGCAGACGTGTTGCAGTGCTAAAGCCCAGTAAGTCAACGAAGGTGAACAAATGGCTGTTCCTTAATCCCAACAAAGCATTGTGAAGATGTACACATTTATTTCTATTTACACATGAAGATGTACACGTTTATTTATATTTACAATGTTATGTGTACACATTAATTTGACATGTCATTACTTTCCTTCTTCAAAGGATCAAGGTATATTCTCGCTGTCGGTCGGTCAAACTGCATTAAACCCACTATTTCCATGAATTGTTGAGGTAACAGTAAGTTCTGCTATGAAAATCCATCACTAAAGCAAAGTTAACTGCTGTTGATCTTCACTTAGTACATCTTCAACCTCGTCCAGAATCAAAACCTTCATACACACAACAAAGAGGGAAGGACAGAGACTCAAACAGGGAACTCCTCGGGTGAAAGCGCCAGTGATGAGAACATTGCTTGTGATCATTCAGAGATATGGGAGCTATTTCTGCCTCCAAAGGATCTGTTTTATCTTTCCTGCTAACATTCATATGGCCAGGAACCTCAGCCTGCTGTTTGCAAAGACATTCAGGGAGCCCTGCAAAGCATTTGGGTTTTAATTATAAGCTCTTCAAAAAAACCCAAAAAACCAAAATAAAATGTAGCCTGCACCACAGTTCTCTTTGTGAAACTTATAAGGAAAAAATAAGGCAATAACTTCAGCCAGGGAACGGCTGTGCATCGGAAGTAATTTCAGAAATCTTCCCAATCAACATTGCAGAAAAACATAATGAAAAACACTTTTATTTTAATTGGAAAGAAAGCATACAGATATTTCAATTCTCATCTCCTCCCTTCCCGTGGAAGAAGGCGTAGTAATAAATTACTGCAAGAAATTCTCATTTTCCCCCTTGCCCACGGAGCGACTCTCCTTGGACATTCTCCAGCAGATTAAACCCAGCATTCTCTCTGGTGAGATGTGTAGAGACTGAGAAATATGTTTCTCCTTCTCAAAATTAAATTAAAGCATCTAAACAGAACAGTTCCCCATTGTTGTTTTCATTACACATCTCTGCCTGTGGCCACCCCAGGGTCAGTGCCCCCGGGTTGGCCGTTGTGGCCAGGTCCTGCTCGCCTGGGGCCACTTGCCAGGGTCAAGCCACGCAGCCCTTTGTAATGAGGCATCTGCAGGAGCTTTGCAATTGTGTCCATGGCAAGTTGATGCAACCCCGTGACTGTAACACCTGGGCCTCACTGCAGCCTCTGCGTGCTGTCTCTGCACTTCTGCCCACCCTCTGGCACTTGCTCAGACACTTCAATAGAGCCAGCTTATTAACGGTGGAAGTCTGGGCTTGCCAGGTCTCTCCAGTGCCCTCAGGCAGCATAACTTGCTCGTTCCTGCCATTCATGCCAAGGTGTGGGGGACCAGTGGCATTTGGGCCCATCAGGAGCCTCTGTCACAGCAGAGAAAGAGCCAGATTCCACAAAAATGTTTGTCCTTGTGGCGGAACAGAAAAGGAAATGTCACCTCCAACCTGTCTGTGAGATGTGTTCCATGGCTACGTCCCAGGGTAGGAGATAGGAGATTGGGCAGAGCAGAGAAGAAGCCACAGAGTGGGGAGAGGAGTGTAGGGAAGCCTGTGCCTCATCCAGGCAAACCCAGGAGAGGGCTCCCTAGGACCTCCATGGTCCTCCCACCAGCATGTCCCTCAGCCTTCAAAAAATGATCCTGGCATGTCTAGCCCTGTGACACACAGATTTATGGTGGCGGGGGGATCTGCCTATGGTCTCTAGGTTAGAAACAAAACTCTGGTGTCCTCACCCCACTGCAGGACTTCTTCCTACCAGGGATGCTCTGTGGTGCAGCTCTTCTCTTCTTGCTTGGGTGAGGCTGGGGCAGAAGTTGAGTCCCTTTGACCAGGCTGTCCCCATACCCCACTTCTCGCTGTGGTGCTCAGCTCTCCTCCTGGGGCACACAGGTTTCCCAGGCTGCCCATGTGGTGTGTCTTCTCCTGCTGCAGCTCCTGCACGCAGCACTGGACATGGTGCAGGAGCCCCAGGGACCCCCAGCCATGCTGTTGGAGGCCAGGCATGGTGCCCATGGACAGGGAGGTGGGATGGAGGTGTCGCTGTTCACCCCGTCTCTGTGCACAAGAGAGACAAGGGTCAGCCCAGGTTTGGAACCCCATCAGAGACTGGCCATGGATGCATGGGGCAACTGCACCACATGGCTGGGCACACATTTTCTTTTCACGTGATCTGAGGAGAGGTGACACATTCTTCACAGGACAGTGCTGGCCCATGCAGCTTCTGGGGGTGAGCAGGAGGTCCCCATGGGTCTCTGCAACCCCAGTCAGAGCAGCCCCTCCTCAAAAATGGCCACCAGAAGACCCTCAACCCCCCCACCCCAGCCTTGAAAATGCCAGGAGGAACTTTGGAGAGGAACTTGAAGCAGTCACCTGGATCAGCTGATCCTTCAGGGCTCCCAGAGATGTTGCCTTCTCCATGCAAAGCTGCTCTCGCTGACACCTCTGCTCATGCTCCTGCACAGGACAGAAACACAGGTGGCCCCACTCACCTGCAGCCCACATAAGGGGTCTACTTGTGCCTGGAGAGGGACTGATCTCTAGCAGGCATCCCACCGCCTCACGCTCCAGGACGTGGACTCCAAGGATGCGTAATTCAGACTCATCTAAGGGCTGATGCCTGTCATGGATCCCATCCAGGATCTTCACAGCTGCAGAGAGGGACTGGGGGCTCTGCAACTGGCCGAGGGGAGGGGAGAACCTGCCCGGCTCCACCACTGCTCTGCCCCAGGGAGCAGGCAGAGGGTGCAAGACCATGAGATAGAGCCTGGCAACAGCCACCCCTTGGCCACTGTGGGGTGTCTCTGCGGGGCTGCCAGCCCAGCTCTGCCCCAGACAAGGTGATGGACTTGCACAGACAGGTCAAGGAAGTCCCAAGGCTTCCCTCAGGCCTGACCTCCCCCACCGTGTGGCACAGAGCACAGCCCAGGGATCCAGGGGTCAGACACCATCAGTCCAAAGCCCACCATGGCTGTGTAGGGTGAGACTCTCCTCCCCATCCCTTTGCTCAAATCACCTTCTTCCTCTGGTCAGTGGGCCCCTGGGCTCCATCCTCCCTCCGCAGCTCCCTAAGGTGATGCTGGATTTGCTCTTGGAGGCCACGCAGGATGTGGAGTGCATGGCTGGAGAGCAGAGATGAGGGGGAAGGGATGGGCCACGGGTGGAGAGGAAGAGCTCAGCATGCCCGAAGGTGCCTCTGCAAAGGATGCCCTGGGGCTGCTGGGTGCAGAAGCCCACACTGGGCAAGCAGCCTCCCCCCAAGGCATGGAGCACCCTTGGGTTATGGGACTCACCTGATCACTGCTGGCAAAAGGCCTGTCCCCAGGGCACTGTCAGGGAGTGGGTTATGCCGGCAGGGTGACCCCAGGGTGGTCCCAGTCGCCGGGGAGCACCCAGCCTGCCCTGGCACCGCTGGGTGCCATGAGTGGCTCAGGAGATGCTCCAGGCACTGTAGCCGGGCGCTCCTGCCAGCCCGGTCCTGGGGGAGCAGCCACAGGGTGAGAGATGGATCGGAGCATCGCCTGCATCCCCCAGATCTGCCCCCCAGAGTCCACCCAGCCTTGCAGATAAAAACTGTTGGACTTGCAACCAGGTCAGAGCTTCTAGGAAAGACCTGGTGCCACCTTGAACAGCCAGGGCTGAGAAGGGGAGGCTTGGCATGAGCAGGTCAAGCATGGAGGCACCTCGAGGGCATCTCCTCTGCCCTCCCAGGGCATCCCCAGCTTGATCCCCTGCAAGGCAAGCTGCTGAGCTTGCTTCCCAATGACCCAGCAGACCCCACCATCCCTATGGGTAGGGTGAAACACCCAGGTAACCTCAGGGGTGCAGCACACCTGGGCTACTGTTCTCCCCCATGCTGCTCCCCCTCCCTGAGCAATCCACAGCCCCCTACCAAGCAGCTTTGCTGTGGTTGGAGGTGACCAGCCATAGTGTCCCTTGGCCACTGCTCAGCACTGAGCTGGAGTTACCCCACATCCCCACCCATTCCCTTCTCCCATGCCCAACCTTCTCCAGGACCTCCTGGAGCTGCCGAAGGGTGTCCATCTTTTCCTTCTGGAGCAGCCCCTGGAGCTGGTCCAGGGCTTCCTGCCTCTGCCTCAGGAGGGAGCGGGTACGATGCTCCAGCTCCCAGAACCTCTGTAAGAAAAGCTGGGATCACGTCACCCCTTTTGGCAACACCCTCAAGGCCCAGGAAGGCTTTTCCCAAGGACAGTCTCCCTGCGGGATGTCCGAGTCCCTCCTGGCCAGGGTGGCACCACCTCAGCCTTGCTCAGAATCGATGACCTGCTCCCAAGAGCTGAGATTTGGTGGGGAAGTGACCTCAGCATGGGGACGGCCACCCTGGGGTGCCCAGGACTGCAAGCCCTGCCTGCTTCCCAGACCCCAGCTCTCCCTGCCTCTGCGGTCTCCAGGGCTTCCCAGGGACCTTCTGTCCTGCAGACCAATAACCCCAGTTGCTGTACAGCTGTAGGAGTGGTTTTCCCAACAAACTATGCTCTTAAAAGCTCCAGGTAATAAAACTGTTCTGCAGATAAAGTCAGTTTGGCTCCTTAGGAATTTGGGCGACTCTGGATCCCCAGGAAAGCCAGGAGGGCACTGACCTTCTGTAGCTCCAGCTTCTGTTCTTGCAAAGCTGATGTTTTCCTTGTCTCCTTCCCTAGCCCCTGGCAGCCCGCACAGTCTCTCTGCCCCTGCTGCGACTGGAAAAAATATCCTTTGCCACCTCCCACCTCTCGGCCTCTTCCAGGAGCCGGCTCCAGCCCTCCATCATGCCCAGGAGCATCACTGCTCTTCCCTCCCGAAGCAGAGCTGGTGGCCATGGCCAGCACAGCCTCCTGCAACCCGCTGTGCCCCAGCCACCAAGGGCACCCTGCAGACCCCCTGAGCCCGTCCCTGCCACCAGCGGCTGTGCCTGGCCAGCCCCCACACCCTGGCCATCTTGGAGTCATCTCACCATCATCTCCAGGGCTGTTGGGTCCTGATGGCAGGCATCCTGGGTGTGTGCCAGCGGTGCCAGCCTAGCCCTGTGGCAGGGACATTGTCACTCACGTCCCCGTCCGTGCCACCACCCATCCCCACAGACAGACACCCCACGGGGTGCCCACCCAGCACCCAGGGGCCCAGGTCCCTCTAGAGTTTCCAGTGCCATCTTCTGCTCCCAGGGCACTGGCAAGATTCTGTGGGCTCAGACTCAGTGCAGAATCCATCCCCGGATCCCCTGGCGTACCTGCCTCTGTCCTCTTTGCGCCATGTCCCCTTCACACTGGATCCCAGCTCTCGAATCCCCTCCCGGCTCCTCTGCAGGGACCAAGACAGTGACACAGGGTGCCCTGCTGTGCATTGGCAGCCAGGAACAGGCTATCAAACCATAAAATAGTTTGGGTTGTAAAGGACCTTACGGTTGGACCTAGTTCTACCCCCTGCCCTGGGCAGGGACACCTCCCACCACACCAGCTTGCTCCAAGCCCCCTCCAACCTGCCCTTGAACCCCTCCAGGGATGGGGCAGCCACAGCTTCTCGGGGCAACCTGGGCCAGGCTCTCACCACCCTCCCACCAAACAAGTTCTTCCCCACAGCTCAGCTCCATCTCCCCTCTTGCAGGGTCAAACCCTTCCCCCTCCTCCTCGGGCTCCCCTCCCTCATCCAGAGTCCCTCCCCAGCTTTCCTGGAGCCCCTTGAGGGACTGGAAGGGACTCTAGAGACTCCCTGGAGCCTTCTCTTCTCCAGGCTGAACCCCCCCAACTCTCTCAGCCCCCCCTCCCAGCAGAGGGGCTCCAGCTCTCTGATGGGTAACAGACCCATTTGCTCTTTTCCCCACACATTTCCATGGCCACCACATGGCACACCAGGACTGGGGCCAGGCTTGTTTCCACGGCCACGTCCCCTCTGCTCTCTGCACCCCAGCAGAGATCGGGACCAGGAGCCGTTTCCTCACCCATTGCCGAGCAGCCGGGGCTGTCCCCTGGGTGGCAGAGACACCCACTTCACTGTGCCCCACGTCAGGGACATACCTTGCAGGGCACCATGGATTTATGCTTCCCACGCTGCCGCTGGGGCTCAGCCGCTCCTCCTGGGCAGGATGACACATCTGCCCCCATTCCACATGGCACAGCAGGTCCCGCTGCCTTGTCAGTACCTGCAGGAAAAAATGGCATTTTCAAGGGGAGCCAACACACCCCAGACAAACCCCGTGAGCAACTGGGGGTGGTCCCTGCCACCCTGCCCTGCATGCAGCTCGCTGGACCTGCCCAGAGAGAGTGTCCCTGGCCATGCCCCATCCATCTGCTCAGTCCCAGTCCCTCCATCTTCCTCCAGCATCCCCCCAGCAGCCAGACTCACGGTGAGCTGGGCAGGGAGCTCCTCTCTGCCTGCTGCTGCCTCCGTCCTTCTCCGCGTCATCCACCCTGAGGGTGACAACTGCTCCACGCTGTCTGTGGAGAACTGGTGGCCTCTGCCATCTCAGCCCCAAGGGTTTGCCGGTGGAATGTCCCCTGCTCCCAGCACCTCTGGCTCCTGGAAATCCACTGGGAGAGCCCCTCCTTGCCCTGGCCCCACTCCTGCCAGCAGAGATGCCAGGGGCTCTCCAGGGATGCCCAGCAGCTGGGTCTCCACTGGGCAAGGCGGTGGTCAATGGGTCTTTCCCAGAGCATGACCCACCACAGGGAGGGTCCTCCCATCCCAGGGCTGGCTGTGAGGAGGGGGCTGGCGGGTGATCCCCCCACGCCAGCCCCAAAGCACCTCTCTGGCTCAGTCTGGATATTCTGCCTCCCAGAGACTCCACGCTCTCTCTCCTCAGCAGAGGTAGGGACCTGCCCTGCAAGCGCTGTCTGCCAGGCTCCACTGCCACCAGTTGCTGGACATCCCATCTTCTCCCTGTGGGGAACAAGGACTCATCCTGCCCAGCATCACCTCTCTCAGCAGGGACATCCCCAGCAGGCTCTTCTTCCTCCTCCTTGGAGAACAGCAGGGGCTCCACCATCCCCTCCCGAAACCTGGCAGCGAAGTCCTCGGTGCAGATGGAGCTGGAGCTGCTCTGGTCCCCGGGGCTGGGCTGGGAGCCGGGGGGCTGAGCCAGCCCCTGGCAGTGTTGCTCCCATGGGACGGGGCTGGCATCACCCTGGGGACACCTGGGGCCGTGTTCTTCCAGCTCTGCGTGGGAGAGAGATGGGAAGGAGCCATTCTGTCCAGCTGGATCTGAACCAGCTCGGAGGTGACTGTTCTCACTCATTTGGTGCCCTCGTGAGCTCAGACACTGAAGGCATCCCACCCTCTCCAGCAAAATCCTCAACCTCAACTGCTTCCAGAAGCCAAAGCCACAATATCATCCCTTTTGTTTGTTTTTTAAAGCAGGGTAATTGTCACCCTGTGGATGCCCGGATGCCCCCAGGCATGGCCGGGCAGTGCAGCCCAGGGGAAGGCTGGCCAGGGCAGCGGGGCACAGGGCTGGGATGCTCTTCTGTGGTGAGAAATGGGAAGCCACTGCCTGATGGGAGAGTCCTGCTCCCAAATTGCCCTTTGCATCTTCGCAAAAGCCCCTCCGACAACATTTCTGTTGCAGCCCCAGGCTCCCACGAAACCTGGCAGCGAAGTCCTCGGTGCAGATGGAGCTGGAGCTGCTCTGGTCCCCGGGGCTGGGCTGGGAGCTGGGGGGCTGAGCCAGCCCCTGGCAGTGTTGCTCCCATGGGACGGGGCTGGCATCACCCTGGGGACACCTGGGGCTGTGTTCTTCCAGCTCTGGGTGGGAGAGAGATGGGGAGGAGCCATTCTGTCCAGCTGGATCTGAACCAGCTCGGAGGTGACTGTTCTCACTCATTTGGTGCCCTCGTGAGCTCAGACACTGAAGGCATCCCACCCTCTCCAGCAAAATCCTCAACCTCAACTGCTTCCAAAAGCCAAAGCCACAATATCATCCCTTTTGTTTGTTTTTTAAAGCAGGGTAATTGTCACCCTGTGGATGCCCGGATGCCCCCAGGCATGGCCGGGCAGTGCAGCCCAGGGGTGGGCGCTGGGGAAGGCTGGCCAGGGCAGCCGGGCACAGGGCTGGGATGCTCTTCTGTGGTGAGAAATGGGAAGCCACTGCCTGATGGGAGAGTCCTGCTCCCAAATTGCCCTTTGCATCTTCGCAAAAGCCCCTCCGACAACATTTCTGTTGCAGCCCCAGGCTCCCAGACGAGAGTTTTTCTCTCCTGGCGTCGCTGCTGTGGTCTCTGTGAGCGCTGCTGTTTTATTTAAACAGCAGGAGCTGCGGAACCCTCTGCCTGAGCATCAGCCCATCTGCTGGTCCCCAGCCCATCTGCTGCTCCCCGGCCAGGCATCGCTCAGCAGGAAGGTTGGAGGGGGGAGCAAAGCAGAGCTAAGAAAGCACTAAAGCACCGTGTCCCCACTCACCAGCCACCCGGGAGCCAGCGAGGAAGGTGCCAGGAGAGATGTCACCGTCTCTGCTGCCGCCGGTGCCCTGCGGAGGGGACAGCGGGTGTGGGGCACTGCCACTGACCAGGGGAACGGGGCAGGAGCACCCGTGTTGGCGCTGCATCATCCCCTGGGTGGTCCCACCGCACCCCCACGCTGTGACCCCCCTTCCCACGCCCCACACCTGGCTGAGCTGGGCACCAGTGGGGTCCAGCCCAGGGTCCCGGCGTTCCCTTGCCCAGGATCCTGCAAACCCTGGCTGCTTCCTCAGGTCTGGGTCTGCAGGGAGGAGGAAAGAGGCACTTCTTGCACCCTGGGCTTGCATCGCTATGGAGGGGACGGGACAAGCCGGTTCCCGGCAGCACAGGAGCCAAGGTGTGTTGGTGTGGGGCTGGGGGAGAGACGGGCACCCCCGCGCCCTGGGTGCACCCCTGTGAGCCTCCCTGCGCTGCTGCCCTTTGAAGACAGGCTCCTCCAGCTCCATGGCTGCCACCCGGGTCTGCAACACAAGGCAAGGTGAGGGTAACACACTCCAAAAGCCCCCATGAACTCATTAGCCTTCAGAGTGAACACGCTGAGACTGACAGGGCCTTGAGCTGCGGTGCCGGGCTGAGGGTCACGCCGCGGGGGCGATGGGGGGCTTTGCTGCAGGGCACAGAGACTGGCCTTTCATTAATGCCAAGACACCAGCAGGTTTGTTGGCCCCGGGGGCTGCCGTGAGCCCGGTGCCCACTGTCAGCACCCAGGGTGGGCAGGAGCCCCCTCCCCACACCGGCATCGACCACGTGGGTCCTGGGCTGGGGTCCCCCACCCTACCCTGAGCCGTGCTCACCTGGCCAAGCTGGGTGAGATGGGCAGCAGGCAGGATGGCAGGCAGGAGAGTGAGATGGGCAGCAGGCTGGACAGGAGGGCAGCAGGCAGGAGCGCAGGCAGGAGCAGGCCGTGTTCTGTGTGCATGTCTCCTGGCAACGCTGCAGCAACCGGCCAGTCTCAGCCTGCCCCAGGCCTCCCCACCCATCTCCACAGCCCCTGCCCAGACCCTCCTCCAGCTCTCCCAGGTCTCCTCTCCTGGGCCATCTTCTCTTGGCCACCTCTGGCCCCTGACTACATTTCCTGGGACATCTCCTTCCCACCATCCCCAGAGAAATGCCTTACCTGGGCACCTTCCTCTGGGCCACCTCTCCTGTTCCTCCTTCCCTAGACCTCCTTCCCTGGGAAACCATCTTCTACCTTGGCCAAACTCCACCAGGACATCTCCTCCCTGGACGATCTCCTCCCCTGACCCTCCTCCCTGCCTGGGCAACCCCTTCCCCAGTCCTCCTTCCTTTCTACGCTACCTCTCCTGGGAACCCCCCCTTCCACAGGTACCTACCCCTGGGCCTCCTCTCATGTTTCTGCCCTCCTTCCCTGGGCTGTTCCCTTGGACATTTCTGGCCTTAGACAACCTCTGCTGGGCCATCACCCCTCCTGGCCCTTCTACACCCCTCAAGCCACCTTCTCTGGACCATCTCCTCCCCTTGGCAACATCCCCCTTGCTCCTTCTCCTTCCCTCAACCACCACTTCCCTGGACCTCCTTGTCCTCTGGGCCACCTCCCATAGTCCTCCTCCCCTGGATAACCTCCTCCTCTGAAGAACCTTCCCTGGGCCATCTCCTCTCTGGCCTTCCATCCTCCCTAAGCCATGTTTCCTGGAACATCTCTTCTGGGCCACCTCTCACGGTCCCTTCCCTGGTCACCTCACCTGCCACCCACAATGTGCCCAGGCCCCCAGGCATGCCCAGAGCTCACCCACCTCAGGGCTCCTCCAGGACCCCCACCTGCAGCCCTGGGGAGCAAGTGACCATCTCAGCACTGCAGCTTTTAAAACTCCTGAATCCAAGTTTTTATTACCGTGTAGGAGAAGAGGGATCACTCACAATATATTGTTCAAAAAGAAATACATTCAACAGCATTTACAGTGGAATGACATTAAAATCCTCTGGGGAGGGACTAGAAAGACCAGGAGATGGTGCTCTGATTAAGTGCTGCTGCTAGATGACCTCTGGAAGATAGAGCAATATTTAAAATTAGCCTAAAAAACGGTGGATTTGTGTTTTGGGGGGTGCTCCTTGCGCTCCCCCAAGCTCCGCTAAGCTGTGCAGGGTCTGTGATGGTGATTTCTAGGCAGACGTAGCGATGGGGCTACATCAGAGAGGACCTCTCGGGGTCCCAGAGCCCAGCAGGACCCTTGGTGCCAGCACTTTCTGAGCAACATCTCACTCCCCGCTCCCCTCCACTGCGGGAACGCTGGGATCCTGCTGCGGGGACAGTCTGTGCGGGAGGTTCTCACCTCTCCCAGTTCTCGGGTAATACTTGCATTGACAAAGCAAACGAGGAAAATAAGGCATTTTGAAGAGCTCCATTTCTAGCCCATTTTTCAAAACTGATTCAGGCCTGGAGTGGAACAAAACCCCCCCAGACAACTTTGGTTGCTGCCACAAACCAAACCAGTGGCGTCGAGTGTGGAGCATCCTCCACCCGCCCAGGGAGGTGGAGGCTGGTCTCCAAAGATCTGCATGCCAAGGGGCCAGGACACCAGGCAGCTCTCCGCAGGCTCCATCCAGCAGCCAGTGCAGCTCATTTAAGAGCTGCAAGGGCTTCACCAAGCCCCGGGGAAACCTCCAGGTGGGGTCTGGAAGGAGCAAACACGCCAGGACCAGCTGCTGGAACACTCAGGCAGCCGGGAAACGACTTGGAGCATCCCGCTCCCAAAGAGGAGGGATACCGAGTGCCGCCCTGCAAATCCCACAGGCATCGTTTCCAGAAGGGAATGGCTTTGTGACACCTTCTGAACGCATCCAGCGTTGGAGCAGAGCGTTGCTTCTTGACTTGGGGGAATTATCTATCACCATCACCCCTACCTCCGGGACAAGCCTAAGGAAATCGTACTCGTGCTGCAAAAACTCAGACAGACACTTCTGTCTTCATTATTTTTCATCTATTGTGTACCATAGAAATTTAAGCAAAATAATTTTTATATATATTTATATATATATATAAATTAGAAGCAAATAAATAAGATTAAAGGGTACATTGAAGTCAGTGGGTGTTGCCACTCCAGGAGCACTCACTAGGGTTACGCTGTACGAGGTCTATTTATACTGTACACGAAGGTTTGCTGTGGGTAAGGGGTGCAGAGGTGCTGGAGGAGAAGCCGACCAGGAGGAGACCAGTGGTTGAGGAACCTGATTGCATAAGTGTCCCATGTGCAGCCTGGATATTCCAGTTATCATTGCCTCAAAGTTCATTATTGCTAAATATCTTCCAAGGTGGATGTGACAGTCCGGCCAAGGGGTGGCCTCCGCGCCCCAGGAGGCAGCAGTCAGTGTGATATGATGAAGACCCGGAGAAGACGACATCAAAAATGAGATCCAATGGGGCAAACGCGGGTGTCCAGGTCTCCCTGATACTCTCTGTCCCAGCGGATCCCATCTTCGGGGTCCTGCCACCCCCATCCTCCCCTTCGGCACTGGGGGCTGGCGGGACCTGCCTGCGTGGCCTGTGTCCGAGCAGCGCTGGCTCCTGGTCCTCACTGATCATTGGCCGGGCTTGTCCCACTCCTCCCAGCAGGTCCAGAGCCCAGGCAGGCAGGAGGGGCGAGCGGGGGCACCCCCAGCACCATGCTCAGGCCCCTCCAGGGATGACCTGGAACTGCTCCCGGGAGAGAGCGGCCACCAGGGAGGAGAAGGGACAGAGTCGGGTGCCGTGGGACCCCTCCAGGCTCAGCCTGTGACCCCCCTGTGCTGGGGGGGCTGAGGACCAGACCCGTCTGGCTTCATGGGGAGGACACAGGGATGGGAGAGCCAGGATGGAGGCTGCATCCCAGGGAGGCTCCGTCCCAGTGGCACCAGGGCATCGCCTGGCTCCGCAGGGAGACAACCCTGCACCGAGAGGGAGCAGGGGGGAGCTGGAACACAGACCCCGGAGCATCCCTGGTCCACAAACCTCTCTCTGTGTCTGCCAGGCGTAACCCACCTCAGCCAGGCCCTTTCCCGCCTCAGACGCGGTTGCAGGAAAACCAAACCTCACTCCAATCACTCTCACAAAGCGTCATCATATTAAAGATAGCCCTAAGCCTTGACTAACCATGGCAGACTGATGGGAATCTGCTCAAACACTTCTTCTTAAAAAAAAAAAAAAAAAAAAAAAAGGGTAAAAAAAAAAAATCACCAGCTGAAATATCCTAATTGGTGTTACTGGGATGACTGGGCACTGCAAGAACCACCAAGAGCCTCCAGGATGAAGCGCCACAGCCCCTGGAGAGTTTTCTGAGCAGGACACAGGGTTGTTCGTGTCCATCTTTGAAGGAACCTGAACCAGGAGCAAACATTTTTTTAAAAAAATAATTCCATAAAGTCCACACACAAATGGGGGGGGAAAACCAAACCGCAATGTAAAAGAGAAGAGCTCACACAAACGCACGGCATCCCCGCAACGCGAGCATCTTTGGAAGTCGACGTCTCAGCCGATAGAGCCAAGGCGTTGAGAGACAGAGGCAGCAACTCTGGATAGCAATAAATACACCAGGCTAAAAACAAACCAGATCCACGTGTCCTCGTTCCTAATTAGTTGCTGAAAAAGCCATCATTAAAAAAAAAAAAAAAAAAAAAAAAAGGATGCTATTTATTAGTGCGTAAAAAAATAGGTTTGGAATCCCTGTTTAGATTTTCTTGTCAAATCTCTGCGTGTATTGACTCTGTGTGTGTATCTGCACGGTTACTGCTGGTGGGACGCTGCCAGCGTGTCCCCGCTGTCCCTCTGTCCGTCCCAGTGACTCCAGGCGCGGAGCCGGCCACCCCGGTGTGGCTCAGAAGATGTCGGGGCATGAACTCCAGTCCTGCTTGTCCTTGGCCTCCCAGTAGCCACCCTTATAGACGCAGATCAGCTCCCCCGTCACAGCGTCCACCTTGCGCTCAAACCACAGTGGGATGTAGCCTTCGTAGTCCTTGCCTGTCCAGGGACAAACGAGGAGTAAGGGCTGCTTCTCCTGCCCAGAACGATGCAGGGTCCTTCCCTCATCCCCCCAAACTCAGTGGGATTTCATAGAATGGTTTGAGTTGGAAGGGAACTTAAAGATCATCATCTCATTCCATCCCCCTGCCCTGGGCAGGGACACCTCCCACCACACCAGGGTGCTCCAAGCCCCCTCCAACCTGCCCTTGAACCCCTCCAGGGATGGGGCAGCCACAGCTTCTCGGGGCAACCTGGGCCAGGCTCTCACCACCCTCCCACCAAACAAGTTCTTCCCCACAGCTCAGCTCCATCTCCCCTCTTGCAGGGTCAAACCCTGCCCCCTCCTCCTGTGGCTCCCCTCCCTCATCCAGAGTCCCTCCCCAGCTTTCCTGGAGCCCCTTGAGGGACTGGAAGGGGCTCCAAGGTCTCCCTGGAGCCTTCTCTTCTCCAGGCTGAACCCCCCCAACTCTCTCAGCCCCCCCTCCCAGCAGAGGGGCTCCAGCCCTCCCAGCATCTCCGGGGCCTCCTCTGGCCCCGCTCCAACAGCTCCATGTCCTTCTGCTGGTGGTGGCCCCAGAGCTGGAGGCAGCACTGGGGGGTGTCTCCCCAGAGCGGAGCAGAGGGGCAGAATCCCCCCCTGGCCCTGCTGCCCACGCTGCTGGGGATGCAGCCCAGGGGTGGGGGGTTTCTGGGCTCCAGCGCACGTTGAGGGGCATGTGGAGCTTCTCACCCACCAGCACCCCAAGTCCTTCTCCTCAGGGCTGCTCTCTGGCCGTTCTCTGCCCAGCCTGGCTTTGGGCTTGGCATTGCCCTCACCTCACCTGCAGGACCTTGCAGTTGGCCTGGATGAACTTCATGAGGTTGGCACAGTCCCACCTCTCCAGCCTGCCCAGGTCTGTCTGGATGCCATCCCTTCCCTCCAGCATGTCACCACCCCACACAGCTTGGTGTCATCAGCAAACTTGCACTCAGTCCCACAATTTCACTGCCGCATCCCCCACCACAGCAAGGGGATCCTGAAGCATCTCACCTTCCTCCAGGGCCTCCACGGCCTCGGCCTCTCTCCGCCGGCGCACGGCTCGCTGCTTCTCCTCCAGCCGCTGCTTCTCCACGTTGGCCTCATCCCAGCGGCCACTCTCCATCAGCCGCTGGTCAGGTCGCAGCCGACTGTCTGTGGGGGCCACCCGCTCCTCAGGCTCATTCAGGGTGAGGGCCAGGTCAGAGAAGAAATACATGTTCTCGGCGTTTTCCCTGTGGTTGGAGAGCCCCTGATCAGGATGGTGAAGGTGGTGCCCACGTTGTGCAGAGCTCCCCAGCCCTTCACATCTCATCCCAGCCCCACTGGTGCTGCTCCTGCTACCCCAAACCAGATGTGGAGAGGTCCTTCGGGGAGGCCTGCCTCCCACCCCCTAAGTGGAGATGTCGATGACACTTCAATGGGTGTCTCAGAGGGGAGCAGACCCCTCTGTTGGCTTGGTGTGGAGAAGTTAAAAGCCAAGCCTACAAACCCTAAGTGGCGTATTGCCCATCCGAGACACCCAACAGCTTCACCCAAGAGCTGCTGGATGTCCAACTACAGAACTGGGGGCACCAAGTGGAGGAGGCTTTCCAGGGAGGACCATTCCACTGGGGACCTTTCCAACAGAGTGTCTCCAAAGCAGGGACCAGCCATTGGTGCTGCCAAGGGTTGGGGACTTGTTTGGTGTCTGAGAGCAGCCCCACTGTGGGTCAGAGTCTCAAGAGAGGGCTGGAGAGCTAAAGTGACCAGTGAGACGGGATGGCCAGGGACTCGCCAGCAAGGCAAAGCAGCCAACCCATCTCCATGACTTGGCCAGCAGCCTGAAAAACCTAACCAGTAACCCCAGCTGCCCAAAAACTACCTGCAAGGGTCCTCCGAAGCCACCCACCCATTGCAGGGACCCCTTCTCCTCACCTGCTGTGTGCTCACACCCCAGAAAAAGCTACCTGGCCACCCAAGTCCTGGTCCCCTTCCCATGACCTCAGGGCTGGTTGCAGGAGCCCCCTCCCTCCCTAGGGGCTCAGGGCAGCACCCTTCACCCCTGCCCAGCTTTATGCCCCCGAGCAGAGGAGAGGACTCACGGAAGTGGGTACTTCTTCCACAAGACCTTTGGAGACAGCGTCTGGTAGACGGTTTTCTGCTTGCCCTCCGTGCTTGTGCTGCCGTGGCTGCTGTGCACTATCTTGGAACACTCCATCTTCTCATCCCATGTGCCTGACATGACGTAGTGGGCTTTACCATCAGCGTCGGTCACCACCCCTGTCACCTGGCAGAAGAACATGGCGCCGGTGGCATTTGGAAGTGGCCAGAGAACAAGCAGAAGGTGCAGGGGGAACAGAACACCCTCCAGGTGCCCCAACTGGAGCTGCTGGACCTGGTGCTGGTCCTTGGACAAGACCAGAGCGGTACTGTGGGCCCATCCTGACCGTGAAGGCTCTCCAGCCCTTCAAACCCCTTCCAGGTCTCAGTGCTGCAGCTCCAGCACATGGAGAGCCAAAACACGGGCTCTGCTTGGACACAGCTGGTCCTCCCCCAGCCCTCCCTGGTGACCACGAGGTGCCAGCATGGCTCCTCGGCCCCATGATGAGGCCCATCCCAGCTGCGGTGCTGGGAACCCGTGAGCCTGGCTCGGAGGGAAGAGCCAGGTCTCACCCCGCGCGAGGCTGCCAGAAGGAGCGAGGAGATACCCGGATCCGTACCTTTCGGGGGACGTCCCTGGAGAAGTAGCTGTAGGGGGTAAATTTCAGCTGGCATTTATCTTTTGACTTATGGTTAACAATCTCTATTTCACCAGACTAGATGAAAGACACAGAACCACAGCGAGTGAGAGACTTTGCAAGGAGACAAATCAGGGTTAGTTGCAGTGCAGGTACAAATCAACCCCCACCGCGGCATCGCTTCTGCCCGTAGCCACCGCACTGGCCCCATGGCTCCCCAGCAGCAGGGTGGGACCCATCACACGTGCCACCACCCTGCTCCCCAGAGCTGCTCCATTAGGAAGCTCCAAGAAGCCTCCCCGTGTCCCTGCCAGAGAAGCACACCTTGGTATCATGGCAGGAGTGAGTAGGGACACCAGGCAGTGCCCTTCCAGCCCCCCTGCCCTTCCCCGGAGCCAGGTCAGGCCAGGCAGGACCCACCACCTCGGACCCATAGCCACCAACCTGGTCAATCCAGAGCTTGCCCACGATGATGTTGTGAACGGTGGAGGTGACTTTCCTCCAGACATAGTGATTCCCACTGGAGTGGAACTCGAGGTGGATGGCGCCTGCGGAGACAGGGGTGACCTCAGCTCAGAGGGACGAGCAGGGCTGCAGGCACGCTCTCCTGGAGCACAGCACCACCGTGCTCCTCCTCAGGGCCCACCCGGACCCTCCGCCTGCATCTCCCATCATCAGCCCCAACCGGGGCTGGGGCTGGCTTCATCCCTCCCTTTGCTCCAGCTCCAGCACATGGAGAGCCAAAACATGGGCTCTCCTGGACTCCGCTGGTCCTCCCCCAACCCTCCCTGGTGACCCATATCAAGAGGTGACAGCGTGGCTCCTTGGCCCTGTGCTGGGGGTTGTTCCAGCTGCGGTGCTGGGACCGGCTCAGAGGAAGAGCCAGCTCTTGCTGCACGCTCCATAAGGGAGCTGCCACACCAGCAAGGCCCCTCCACCCTCCTCCTACCCCCCAAAAAAGGGCTGATTTTTAAAGCAGGTGAGAAACGTGCTGCCTGGTTGACTCTCAGTGTCCCAAGAGCAGCCAGGCACCGGCACGGCTCTGGGACCACCCCCGGACGAGCTGCCCGGCCCGGGGACAGGCAGAAGATAAATAAAACCTTGCAAGGAGGCAGCTTATTGCATCTGGCTGCCAGGGAGAGGGTTAAAACAGGCAGCGAGCCAACCTTTAAATATCATTTAAGGAGAAATCATCTCACAGGCAAGCAGGGCATTTCCAAAGCTCATCCGCTGCGGTGCTGGCAGCGAGCACAGCGCTCTCCCTTTGCAGCTGCTATAATTTCCATTTCCAGGGCAGTGGAGTTACCATCGGATTGTCTGTGACCAGGAGCACAAACCCACGCTCCTCCATTGCTTGGGGTGGAATTCACTGAGCCCTACGTGAGCCCACGGGACCGGCACGTTACTGTGACCTCTTGGGTATTGCAGGAAAAAAAGCAAGCCCCGATCCTCCCGGCGTAAGTCACCTACCCAGTGGCATGATGGAGAGGTATTTGCCCCTGAACTTGCTGGCGATCGTGATTTCCTGCCACAACGTCCACCCTCGCTTGGAGTAGACGTGATGGGCGGCTGCCGGGGGGTGGTGGCTCACCTGGGGGAGAGGACAAACAGCCCGTAAAGTCACAGCCACCAGCGCCAGCCAGCCCTGGTGAGTGCTCGCAGCGTGGCTCCGAAGAGATGCAACAGCTTCAGCCCTGAGGATGCTCCTCTGCACTGCCCTGAGCCCCCCAGTCTTCTCCTGGGAACTGGGGTGACCTCCTGTGAGGTCCCCAGGCAGCACATGGAGGGGCACGGAGCTCTGGCCAGGGTTTTCTAAGGCTCACTGGCAAAGTGTTACCCCTAAAATCTCAACCTCAACAACTATTGCTGTGAGATGATGCTGCAGTGTCACCCCAGGACACGGCCCTGCTCTCCAGGGATCCTGGCTGAGAAACAGGGATGTGCCAATGCCCAGCCCAGATCCCCAGTAAACCCAGTGTTATCAGCACCTCTCCTGTCAGCAGCAGCTCCCACTGCTCTGCCTGGGAGCCCCTGGGGAACACAGGTCCCCAAGTCATCTGAGACACATGGACCTACCTAGCCAAGACTTCAGCTTTTGTCCCTACAGACACGTGGGGCTGGAGAAGCGGATTAAACATCCTCCATCCCAAAGATGACTGGTAAAAGGAGGGTGCTCACACTCCCCTGCACTGGAAAAGCTGCCCAGATGCAAGGTGGGAGCAGGACACCCCATCCCGAGGGCTCTGCCCTCCCACGGGGTCTCACCTGGCTGACCCATGGTGGTCGGCACGGCACGGCACATGCCACCCACCACCAGGAACCAGCAAACCCCCAGGCCCCAACAGCCACACCACCGACTCCAGAGGTGATTTGCACCAGTGTAATTACAGCTGAGTGCCCCGAGCCGATGGATTACAAACGTGAGCAGAGCAAAGACCTCTCTGTTAAATCCCACTGTCACCGGCAGGAGAAAATCCTATTTGGGTAACTGGATTGCAGGCACAAGATTATCAACGCTTTGCTGGGCATGAAGGTGGGATGAGCAGCACTCGCAGCAGCCCGGGGAAGTCCAGAGCTGCAGGAACAGTCTCTGTCTGTCCATCCCACGCTGCCCACAGCAACTGCAGCACCAGGGCGAGAGGCACCAGCAACACTGCACCAGGGCAGAGCCCTCTGTCACCGAGTGTGGCCTTTGAGGTGGCTCCAGGAGGGAGATTTAGAGCCTTCACTCATGGAGCGAAGGCTCCAAAACGTTGCAAAAGAGCAGGTTTGCTTCCTAATTTCATAGACTCATAGAATGGTTTGGGTTGGAAGGGACCTTAAAGATCATCATCTCATTCCACCCCCTGCCCTGGGCAGGGACACCTCTCACCAGACCAGGTTGCTCCAAGCCCCCTCCAACCTGCCCTTGAACCCCTCCAGGGATGGGGCAGCCACAGCTTCTCTGGGCAACCTGGGCCAGGCTCTCACCACCCTCACACCAAACAAGTTCTTCCCCACAGCTCAGCTCCATCTCCCCTCTTGCCCTTGTCAAACCCTTCCCCCTCCTCCTAGGGCTCCCCTCCCTCATCCAGAGTCCCTCCCCAGCTTTCCTGTAGACTGTCTTCAAGTACTGGAAAGTGTTAGAAGGTCTCCCCAGAGCATCCTCTTCTCCATATAATGCCATATAACCCAGGGGGCGGGGGGTTTCTGGGCTCCATCGCACGTTGAGGAGCGTGGGGAGCTTCTCACCCACCAGCACCCCCCAGTCAGCAGCAAGACCCTTTTCCCACACAACATTCCCCCAGAAAGCCCACAGGGCTCGGGGCGGGGGAGGGGAACACACACTGACAAACAGCTCTGAAGATCCTGGACCTGGACCAGCCTCTGCAGAGCAACAGAGTTTTGTGGTTTCGCTTGCAGTTTCTCAGCACTGAAAGACGTGACAGTGACTCTGCCCCCGAGATGGCACAGCCACCCCCTGGAGGACACAGAGCCCCCACCAACGTGATGTCCTGCCTGCAAGGGGCAATAAATGGCCCTGTCCCTTCCCAGGAATCCAGGACGGACCAGCCAAGTGTGCTAAATATTAAACAGTCAATTTTCTTCACAGGTCGCAACTCATTAAGCACTCCAGGTTTTTAATTAAGGCCTGCTGTTTTACCGATGCGCGCCAGATGTGCACGCTGTGGGACTGTCAGAAGTTCCCAGGTCGCCCCCAGGCTCTGAAACTAAGAATTTCCAGTCCCACAAGAAAGAAAGGAGATCCTGAGACACCCCCTGGCCAAAGAAACCTTGAAACAGGGAGGAACCACACCAGAGCTGTTGGGCATCACTGACACAGCCATGAGGGAGCTGGGGTGAGAAAAGCTTCTCCCTTCCTCCTCAAGTGTTGAGATGTAACGACAACCTCTGCCCCAAGCAGGCTGCCAGGAGCCCTAGCAGGGTGGTGGACACCTTTCTTTTCACCTTCACAGAATCACAGAATGCTATGCTAAGGGACCTCTGGAGATCATCTAGTCCAACCCCCTGCCAGAGCAGGGTCACCCAGAGCAGGTCCCACAGGAACGTGTCCAGGCAGGTTTGGAATGTCTCCAAAGATGGAGACTCCACCACCTCCCTGGGCAGCCTCTTCCAGGGCTCTGCCACCCTCATAGCAAAGAAGTTCCTCCTCATGTTTAGGTGGAACTTCTTACAATCGAGTTTGTGCCCATTTCCTCTTGTCCTATCACTGGGCACCACTGAAAAAAGACTGGCCCCATCCTCTTGACACCCACTCTTTTAAGTATTTATAGGCGTTGATCAGATCCCCCCTCAGCCTTCTCTTCTCAGACTTCCCCACTTCCCCCACTTCTTCCCTACTGGAGCACTGGGATGGGCACAATGTCCTCCTGCTTCTGAAAAACGGCTTGGGCTGTGCCCACTTCCGCCGATGCCAAGGGGAATGTGCTGGCCGTCTCGGGCAGGAGGAAGGCTCAGGGTGAGGAGATGCTGGGTCTCCCTTGTGGCTCCTGCTGGGCAGGAGCAGGGGGCAGCCCCCGGCTCACCTGCTCGCACAGGGAACGGAAGCCAAACTCCTCCAGCCGGTCCAGCTCATAGGTCTCCCCCAGCAGCGGGTTGAAGGGCTTTGCGGTGCGGTGGACGGTGGTGGAGTAGGAAGACACCGAGAAGGCGGCCACGAAGCACATCTGCTCCGTGGAGCTCTCGCACTTGACCGCTTTGTCCAACAGCTCATGGTACTCCAGGTCCTCCGTCAGCCTCTGGAGCATGGAGAGCGGCTCGTTGAAGTTCACCTGGAGGGGAACAGGGAAGGGTGAGAACAGCAGGAGAGATGTCAAGCTGGGCACTTGGCATCTTTTTTTTTTTCCCTTTTTTTTTTCCTGAATTTTTTTTCTCAACTGATTTAGAGTAAGAGAGCAACAGAGTTTTGTGTTTTCACTTGCAGTTTCTCAGCACTGAAAGACGTGACAGTGACTGTGCCCCCGAGATGGCACAGCCACCCCCTGGAGGACACAGAGCCCCCACCAACGTGATGTCCTGCCTGCAAGGGGCAATAAATGGCCCTGTCCCTTCCCAGGAATCCAGGATGGACCAGCCAAGTGTGCTAAATATTAAACAGTCAATTTTCTTCACAGGTCGCAACTCATTAAGCACTCCAGGTTTTTAATTAAGGCCTGCTGTTTTACCGATGCGCGCCAGATGTGCACGCTGTGGGACTGTCAGAAGTTCCCAGGTCGCCCCCAGGCTCTGAAACTAAGAATTTCCAGTCCCACAAGAAAGAAAGGAGATCCTGAGACACCCCCTGGCCAAAGAAACCTTGAAACAGGGAGGAACCACACCAGAGCTGTTGGGCATCACTGACACAGCCATGAGGGAGCTGGGGTGAGAAAAGCTTCTCCCTTACTCCTCAAGTGTTGAGATGTAACGACAACCTCTGCCCCAAGCAGGCTGCCAGGAGCCCTAGCAGGGTGGTGGACACCTTTCTTTTCACCTTCACAGAATCACAGAATGCTATGCGGAGCCCTAGCAGGGTGGTGGACACCTTTCTCTTCACCTTCACAGAATCACAGAATGATATGGGGTTGGAAGGGACCTCTGGAGATCATCCAGTCCAACACCCTGCCAGAGCAGGGTCACCCAGAGCAGGTCCCACAGGAACGTGTCCAGGCAAGTTTGGAATGTCTCCAAAGATGGAGACTCCACCACCTCCCTGGGCAGCCTCTTCCAGGGCTCTGCCACCCTCACAGCAAAGAAGTTCCTCCTCATGTTTAGGTGGAACTTCTTACAATCGAGTTTGTGCCCATTTCCTCTTGTCCTATCACTGGGCACCACTGAAAAAAGACTGGCCCCATCCTCTTGACACCCACTCTTTTAAGTATTTATAGGCGTTGATCAGATCCCCCCTCAGCCTTCTCTTCTCAGACTTCCCCACTTCCCCCACTTCTTCCCTACTGGAGCACTGGGATGGGCACAATGTCCTCCTGCTTCTGAAAAACGGCTTGGGCTGTGCCCACTTCCGCCGATGCCAAGGGGAATGTGCTGGCCGTCTCGGGCAGGAGGAAGGCTCAGGGTGAGGAGATGCTGGGTCTCCCTTGTGGCTCCTGCTGGGCAGGAGCAGGGGGCAGCCCCCGGCTCACCTGCTCGCACAGGGAACGGAAGCCAAACTCCTCCAGCCGGTCCAGCTCATAGGTCTCCCCCAGCAGCGGGTTGAAGGGCTTTGCGGTGCGGTGGACGGTGGTGGAGTAGGAAGACACCGAGAAGGCGGCCACGAAGCACATCTGCTCCGTGGAGCTCTCGCACTTGACCGCTTTGTCCAACAGCTCATGGTACTCCAGGTCCTCCGTCAGCCTCTGGAGCATGGAGAGCGGCTCGTTGAAGTTCACCTGGAGGGGAACAGGGAAGGGTGAGAACAGCAGGAGTGATGTCAAGCTGGGCACTTGGCATCTTCTTTTTTTTCCCTTTTTTTTTTTTTCTGAATTTTTTTCTCAACTGATTTAGAGTAACGCACAGGAGGTTGTGCCTCAGAACTATGTATCTGCGTGAAGGTTTAGTGGAGAAACACTTCAGTGAAAAAAAAAAAAAAACTATCTGTATATTCCAAAGAAGTTTTTCTCAAAACCTGCCCATAATTGCAAAATCATTATTCTGACACTTGAGGGTCCAAAGCTCTGGAAATGCTGCCGTGTGTATTGCTGCTTTTATTAAGTGGCTTATGTGACAACTCTGATGCTTCTCTCTCCTCTGAGAGGCTTTTAACTCTCAAATTCACCTCAATTCACACTGCACAATGCAAATTCTCCTGATTAAATCGCATTGTAATGTCATGAATGACAGCACTCCTCCTCCTGCACACAAAGACACGCACCCAACAACTCCCACCTTCATTTTTAACCTTAAGAAAACCCCTAAATACAAACATCTGAGCATTTACTCAGAGGAACGACACCTCGAGATCAAGGCACCCCCTTTGAGTTCCCCCAGCACAGCTGAGCACCCGCATCCCACGCCTTGGGCTCCCCCAGCTCGGGGCGATGCGCTCCGGGAGGGATGGAAACTGTGCCCCACGGGAGCAGCCACCCCACGGGGCAGCTCGGGGCGCAGGGACGTGACAAAGCAGGCAAGAAACGTATGCTCTGCCTGAACCATACCACGAGAGCTTGAAGGCTCTGCAGTTCCCAGCTGAGAAGAAGAGTGCTGGGCAGCTGGCATCCCCATGAGATAATGAGACATCATCCCAGGTACCACCTTGCTCTGGTGACGAAGCACCGTTCACCACCAAAACGAGCCTCAGCAGCAACACCAGCTCCCTCCTGCCTCCTGGCCACGAGCAATGGGGGACATGGGGCAGGCATGTGCTGCCCCCTTGGCTGCCCACCATCACCTCACAGAATCCCAGGCTGGCAGGGGTGAGAAAGGACCTCTGGAGATCATCTAGTCCAACCCCCTGCCAGAGCAGGTCACCAAGAGTAGGTCACACAGGAACGTGTCCAGGCAGGGTATGAATGTCTCCAGAGAAGGAGACTCCACCACCTCCCTGGGCAGCCTCTGCCAGGGCTCTGCCACCCTCACAGCAAAGAAGTTCCTCCTCATGTTTAGATGGAACTTCCCATGTTCCAGTTTGTGCCCTTTCCCTCTTGTCCTGTCCCTGGGCACCACTGGAAAAACACTGGCCCCATCCTCCTGACACCCTTCCTTTAAGTATTTATAGGTGTTGATCAGATCCCCCCTCAGTCTTCTCTTCTCCAGACTAAAAAGACCCAAGTCCCTCAGCTTCTCCTCATCAGAGAGATGCTCTAGGCCCCTCACCATCTTTGTAGTCCTTTGCTGCACCTTCTCCAGCAGTTCCCTGTCCTTCTTGAACCGGGGAGCCCAGAACTGGACCCAATGCTCCAGATGGGGCCTCACCAAAACCACCCCCACACCGGGCTGCACTTGCTCAGAAAAACCTTGAAAAGCCCCATTTCTGGGTGTTCCTGCTCCTGGGGCTGCAGCCCCACGACAGCACCACCCAGTCCCCAACACGTGGGCAGTGATGCCCCATGGGGTGGAGATCGGAGGGGAAACTCCATCCTGGAAGAGCCTGAATGGGTACTCTTTCCAGCCCCAAGTCATTGCTTTGTCAGTTAGAAAATTCCACCATCTGTTGCCGGGTTGGACGGGCTGCAAACATCTCTGGGAAAAACCCAAACAGTTTATTTTAGCCATATTTTTTTTGTTGTTCTGAGAAGAACTGAAATCAAAATAAAAATTGAAAGGACACAGCAACAGTTTGTCTCAGAAGGTCTTCTGCCTGCCTCAAAACCACGTGAAACTCACTTCTTGCTTTCAATTCAGAACAAAGGACCGTATTTCAGGCGGAGCAGATGGTTGAAGCGCTTTTAAAAGCCAAGTGACATTTTTTCATACTAAAGCAAACAAACTCCAGAACCTTCCACGCGGGGATTTCGGCAGCAGGGATCTTCCAGCAGCCGAAAGAGCTGTGTACAAAGAGAAACACCACATCCGCACACGAAAGCAAAATCACTGCTGGCCTGAGATAACTCCGGGGGATGCGAACCCTCCGGGGGAAGGTTTTGCTTCGCCGTTGCCCGAGTGGTGCCGGCGCAGAGTCCTCTGCGCCGGCACCACTCGGGCAACGACGAAGCAAAACCTTCCCACGGAAGAAGGAGAACCCACCCGAAACCACAAAAACCCCTGTAGCTCTTCCTTCCTTTTTAATGCCACAGATTCACAGGAAAATTTAAGAAGTGGGTTTTTTCAGCCGATCACATCCCGTAGAAGGGGACGGGGATGCTCTAAATTTGCCACGACGCGGATGAAGGGTGTGGAAGGAGAAACTACCCCACCTTTGGTGCAACCAACAGGCTCACCCATGCTTTCGACTGTAGTTAACCACGTTTCCAAACAGCCCCTTCCTCTGCCTCCTCCTCCTCCTTCACTCCATTTTCCACAACATCAGCTCAAAATCCCTCACCCAGCAGCTCCGTCCCGACCGGCAGAGCTGCTAGTGTCTCTATGAGCCATGTCCACCCATGGCTTGGATGGGAGGACTCTCCACTGGGATAAAAACCGTCTGGTGGTCAGGCCCAGAGAGTGGTGGGCAATGGAGTTATATCCAGTTGGCGGCTGGTCACGAGTGGTGTCCCCCAGAGCTGGGTATTGGGGCTGGTTCTCTTTAACATCATCATCAATGATCTGGACGAGGGGAGCAAGTGCACCCTCAGTAAGTTTGCAGATGACACCATGTCACTAAGTTGGGTGGGAGTGTCGACCTGCTGGAGGGTAGAAAGGCTTTGCAGAGGGATCTGGACAGGCTGGATGGATGGGCCGAGGCCAACGGGATGAGGTTCAACAAGGCCGAGTGCCGGGTCCTGCCCTTGGGTCCCACCAACCCCCTGCAGCGCTCCAGGCTGGGGGCAGAGTGGCTGGAGCTGCCTGGCAGAAAAGGGCCTGGGGGTGTTGGTGAGCTGTTGGCTGAACAGGAGCCAGCAGTGTGCCCAGGTGGCCAAGAAGGCCAACAGCATCCTGGCCTGTGTCAGGAACAGTGTGGGGAGTAGGACCTGAGAGGTGATTGTCCCCCTGGACTGGGCACTGGTGAGGCCCCACCTCAAGGGCTGTGTCCAGTTTTGGGCCCCTCACCACAAAAAACACATTGAGGGGCTGGAGCGGGTTCAGAGAAGGGCAAGGGAGCTGGTGAGGGGTCTGGAGCACAAGTCTTGTGAGGAGAGGCTGAGGGAGCTGGGGGTGTTCAGCCTGGAGAAGAGGAGGCTGAGGAGAGACCTTCTTGCTCTCTCCAACTCCCTGGAAGGAGGGTGTAGCCAGGGGGGGTCGGTCTCTTCTCCCAAGGAACAGGCCATGGGACAAGAGGAAACGGCCTCAAGTTACACCAGGGGAGGTTCAGATTGGAGATCAGGAACAATTTTGACATGGAAAGAGTTATTAAGCCTTGGAATGGGCTGCCCAGGGAAGGGGTTGAGGCACCATCCCTGGAGGTATTTAAAAGCCGGGTTGACATAGTGCTGAGAGACATGGGTTAGTGATGTGAGGGGTTTTTTGTATGGTTTTCTTTTGTTTTTTTATTAGAGTTAGGTTGATGGTTGGACTAGATAATCTTAAAGGTCCCTTCCAACCTAGACAATTCTATGATTCTATGATACTACAGAGAGAGAATTCAAACTGCCTCCTGCTGCCTCCCCACAGGCTGCTCCTTCTTGGGGGGAACCTCCCAAAGAAAGGCCACATGGAGCTGAGCTTGGGGGGGTGCAAAGTGCCCCTGTATCCATACAGACACCCCGAGAGAGGAGCTGACAGTGAGGGGTTCACGCCGGGCAGAGCCCCTTCTTCATTCTGTAAACATTTTACAGAAACAGCAGCACTGGGAAACCAGCCCCTCTCACCCCGGGGAGGGAGTAATTACTATTCTGTAAACATTTTACAGAAACAGCAGCACTGGGAGGGAGTAATTACACCCCCCCAGCCGGCGTCGGGGGCTGCTGCACCAGCAGAACATACTGCTCTCAGGTTTGGACACGGCTTTTTGCAGCTCCCACAATGATTTGATTGATAGGGAAGGTATAAATTTCCTCTCTCCAGGCACCGGCAGCTGCTGGTATTTCACGTCCTGAGCTTATTTCTGTACCCATCACGCCTTTAGCCGATATTGATGCTGCTGCAGAAATGCTAACGGAAGGCGCTGGGCCATACATCTCAGCTGGAAATAGCATAAAGAAGAGACAAACTCATCCCTCTCACTGGCAGAGCGTCAGGCTCTGCCTTACCAAGAGACAAAATACCAGCAGTTCAGCAGCCGAACCCCCGCCACACGCTCTTTGCCCTGTACCCAGCAAAGGGAGGACCCCAACTCCAGCTCCAGGGCTACAGATCATGCTTTGCTGGGCTACTTCCATGCCAGCCAGCACCACAGTAACGCCCAGCACCCCCAGCTGTTTTACAGCTCTCCCAAACTTGACAGGCCTCATGGGTTTTGGGGGAAATGGATTCCTTACAATGGCACCCAGTCCCATCTATGCTGCTCGCTGGGCTGGTGAAGACCTGGTGGAAACCAGCAGCCTGAAAGAAAAGGGCTGTTTTGCTGTGAAAAAAAGGCTGTAGTTTTGGGGGAGCTTTGGCGTGGGCAGTGTTTTGTCTGGGTACAGGAGGCACGGGGTTATTTACCTGCACAAATTAAATGCACATCCCGCTTACAGCAGCCCACGCGAGGGGGGATCCTCCAGACAGACTCCTGCCAGCAAACCTTCTCCTGACCTTCCCCAGGAAGCCTTCGCCTCAAGGAATGAACCCAGCAGCACCCAGAAGGGCTGGAAATTGTCCCCAGGGCACCTCCTTCACTAAAAGGCCACTCTTTGCAAGGAAAATAAAGGCATTCTGGGGCGAAACAGGTCCCTGCTGTGCTGTCAGTGCTGGTGGGGCTGCTCTCCGAGCATCGCGTCCCCAGGATGCACGCTGGGGAAACAGTGATCAGCAACAAGGCTCTTCTCCTCATCCCTGGGTGAAATGCTTGAATCCTCAGGGATTCAAGGTGTCTTGGTTCCCTCCTTGTCTCTGCACCAGCTGGATTTGCAGAGGGCACTTGGGCAATATCACCCCGGCACTTGTGCAAGCAAGATGCCAGGACACAGTCACCCCTGGGCTGTCCCCAGCCAGAGCAGGAGAAGGGACCATCCCAAAAAAGGAGCCAAGCTGATTCAAATCACAGCTTCGTCAAAGCCATTAGTCACAAAGTAATTAGCACCACAGCTCCCTGCTGCAGGGGACAGCCTCCAGCCAGGCTGGGCCGGTGTCCCGGCTGTGTGGTTCCCTGGCAGCAGGTGGGTGATTTCACGGGGCAAATAAATTGCAGGGAAAAACACAGGGCTTTGAATCAGCACAGCTGAGCAGTGAGGACACCCTGGAGCTGCAGAGAAGAATGAGATGGCTTCAAAGGGCTCTTGAAAACCAAGTCACAGGCGACGGGACTAGAGGGAACGGCCTCAAATTGCGCCAGGGGAGGTTCAGGTTGGATATCAGGAAAAATTTTTACATGGAAAGAGTTATCCAGCATTGGAATGGGCTGGCCAGGGAAGTGGTTGAGGCACCATCCCTGGAGGTGTTCAAAAGACGGGTTGACGTGGTGCTGGGAGACATGGTTTAGTGACGGTTTTTTTGTCAGAGTTAGGCTGATGGTTGGACTAGATGATCTTGAAGGTCCCTTCCAACCTAGATGATTTTGTGATTCTATGATTGAAGCCAGCAGCTGATGACATGCTGCTGTCCCACTCAGGGGACAATCCAAATCCTCTGCACAGCCAAGAGCTGTGCCCAAACCCCATCCCAGCACCACGGCAGCCCCCTCTGCCAGCCCCCGGCGCCGGGACGCGCTCACTCACAGGCATGGGGATCTTGGAGAGCTCTTTGCCGATGCAGTTCTTCATGATGCTCCAGAGGTTAAGGCTGTAGTTGGGTTTGTCGGGGATGCGAGTCCGTCTCCTTTTCTTCGGCAGGAGATCTTTGCAAGTGGACTCATTGTAGCTGCTTTGATTGGAGCTTTCAAAGACCTGCAGAAGAAACGCGGGTCTAAGCCAGACTCATCCAGCACAACCCAAACAGACCCAGCAGCTCCACAGAGAAGCAACCACAGCTCAGCAGACATCATGTGCTGGGAAGCATCACTAGGAGTCTGTTCTCCAGCGCATGAGGTAAATAACAGGGCAATAGTGCCCTAACACTGTCCTGCTTCCCTCAGGAGGGTGTTTGCTGCTCTCAGACCACTGACATCTGTCCCCCCAACCATGGCCCACGGAAAAACCAGCTCTGCTCCATCCTGGAGGTGCAGGAGGGACCTGGATGGCAAGTCCCTCTGACAACCTCCTCCTCTCCTGCTCCTCTCCCCTGGTTTCATCCCACAGGGACCATCCCTCCCGCTCTGCCCGGCCAACTCACACTGTCCTCCAGGTTCCAGTCCTCGGGGTGGCCCTCGCTGGCCCCACTCAGGTTGCTGCCCGAACGCCTGCGGGGAAGAAAGTACTGGCTGGTAAAGACAAGGAAGGGCAGAGAAGGGGAGAGAAGAACCCAGGCTGGTGCAGCACAGCCACCATCACCCAGGGCATCTCCCTGCTCCACCCAGGGCACTGCCAGGACAGCAGCAGGGTGACGGAGGCCATGCATGGGCTTTGGGAGGGGATGCTCGGGGTGGGGTGTCCCAGCCTGGGCACCCAGAGCCTCTGCACTGCCCAGCGAGCCTGGCGATGTGACCATGGCTCAGATCACGGGGGCCTCCAGCCCAGGGAGGTGCCCAGGGAGGGAGCAGGTCACGGCAGACAACGGCAAGGTCCTCCCTGCCTCTGCCCGGTGCTCCAAGGGATCTCCCTCCAAGCCCCTGCCCAGGCTCCCCTCGAGCCCACATCAGCCGCTGGGGCAGAGGACTCGGCTTCAGTGCAGCACGGTCTTCACATCTGCCCTTCCTCACCTGTTTTGCTAGAGCTGGGGCCATCCTCAGCCTCACTCACTGTGGGGATGCGAGGGCAGGCAGGGCGGAGGGACCCTGTTTGCTGGGGGATGTTCATGGGGCGGGAGCTCGTACCTGTGGTGCTTGGGGTCTGCGGTTACAGTGATAAACGCTGGTGCATCCTCCATGGCATCAAAATACTCCGTCTCTTCATCTTCATCACTGGCCTCTCCTTTGGCAGACTGCACGCTCCCTGGTGGTGCAAAGGGTTTGAGGTGCTCAGGTGCTGTCGGTCCCCTTTCAAACCCCACAAGCCTGTCCCCAGAGCGCACCTGCCCCCCCACTGTGTCCCCTCCAACTCTGCTTCCCTTTACAGCTTGTCCCCCTCCACTCCAACCCACCCCATGAGGATGCCGTACTGATTTCCAGCTCCTGAAAAAAACAGAAGGCACCGTGGCAGCCCGTATCCTGCTCCCCACCCCGGGCACACAAGGCTTCCCTGCTGCGCTGGGGAGCCCCTCCAAAAATGCCACCAGGCTGCCAGAGCCAGACACACGCGGGACTCGCACGCCCAACCGTGTCTAACGCGGCTGCCGCTCCGGCACCACCCCATCTGCCGGGAGATCCGGGCTGGATTAAAGCAGGGAAAAAAACATCACGTGTTTCAGGTGATGCTCGGAGAGATCTCCCGGCCCTCGGGTTCTCCAGCCCTGCCCTTGCAAACACTTCTCATCCCCGCTGCAGTGGGAAAGACTGCTAAGAAGCCGGGAGCGGGCATTAATTGTGATTTTTGAGACACGGTGTGGCTCCCCTGCTCCTGCCCTCCCTAAGTGCAGCCTCAGCATGGGTGTCACTGCTCTGCCACAAAAACACCCATCTGACACAAAACCACCGCTGGAGCAGCCTCCGTGGGGCAGGGCTGACCACCTCTCTTGGGGCTCCAGGAACAAGGATGCTCCAGCACATGGAGGGACCGGGAGGGCCACCCCAGCACCATTCCCACACTGCACAGGAGCAGGGTCACCCCTTGCGATGGGGTCGGGCTGGATTTGTGCCTGTCCCTACACCTCCCTGCCCTCCCCAGCTGTGCCACAGAATCCACGCTGACACTGCAAAAGGAATTTAAGACCATCGAGTCCAACTATCAGCCCAGCACTGCCAAGGCCACCGCTAAGCCACGTCCCTCAGCACCACGTCTGCCCAGCTTTTAAATCCCTCCAGGGATGGTGACTCCCTCCCCTGCCCTGGGCAGCCTCTTCCAAGGCTTGACAACTCTTTCAGTGAAGGGATTGTTTCCAGCATTTGCTCTAAACCTTCTCTGGTGCAACTTGAGGCCGTTTCCTCGAGGCCACACAAGCAGGAGCGCAGTGCCTGGCATGGCCATCACACCCCACAGCAGCCGCTACTCTCTCCCTTGAGTCTATTTATCCTTTAAAAACAAGACGAGGTGCTATTTGCAGTTCTTGGCTATCGGGCTGTAACTAATGCTTCCCGTGGGGAAGGAGATTTGGCGTGAATATGCAAAGCTGTTAGATTTTATTGCCCAGTAACTCTTGCAAACAGCAAATCAGTCCTGACCGTGCCACCACCCCCAGTGCAGCCGTGAACCAGGCACCACCAGGGGACCCTGGGCTTCCTCCCAGCACCGTGGCCACCCTCCAGCAGCCAGAGATGTGCCCATCAGTGAGGGTTATGGCTACCAAAATAGTCTGGGATAGCACGAGTGAGCTGGGGACACAGCCCTCTCCTGCACCCATATCTTGGGGAAGTCCCAAGCAAGGAGCAGCAGGACAGTTAGGGACAATTGTGGTGTAATTGTTGAGACCCCCCCCTCCCAGTGCTGCCTCCAGCTCTGGGGCCACCACCAGCAGAAGGACATGGAGCTGTTGGAGCGGGGCCAGAGGAGGCCCCGGAGATGCTGGGAGGGCTGGAGCCCCTCTGCTGGGAGGGGGGGCTGAGAGAGTTGGGGGGTTCAGCCTGGAGAAGAGAAGGCTCCGGGGAGACCTTGGAGCCCCTTCCAGTCTCTCAAGGGGCTCCAGGAAAGCTGGGGAGGGACTCTGGATGAGGGAGGGGAGCCCTAGGAGGAGGGGGAAGGGTTTGACCCTGCAAGAGGGGAGATGGAGCTGAGCTGTGGGGAAGAACTTGTTTGGTGGGAGGTGTCCCTGCCCAGGGCAGAGGGTGGCACTGGGTGGGCTTTAAGGTCCCTTCCAACCCAAACCATCCTGTGATTAAAAAAACCCAGGGGTACACAGGGCATTGCCTTGTGCATCCTTCCCATCCCCACTGATGTGCTGGGAACAGCCCAGCAGACAGCTCCCCCTCCATCCTGGGGCTTCCCGTGGGGCTCTGCCCCATAACGGCCCCCAGCCCCATGGCCTGGCCCGCGGCGCTCACCCTTGGCGCTGCTGGTGATGCCGGTGGTGCTGGAGGAGAGGCCGGGGGCCCCGCGGCAGGCTCGCTCCAAGCTGTTGTGCTGCTTGGCTAACTGCTCGATGGTCTCCTCCAGCCGGATCCGCTGCTCCCGCTCATACTGCAGCGCCCGCTGCCATTTTCGGCTGTGGGTTTCGGCTAAGTCCAGGAAATCGCGGCAAGCCTGGAGGGGAGGAAGGGACATGGGCATGTTTAGTTTGGAGAAGAGGAGGCTGAGGGGAGACCTCATTGCCCTCTACAACTCCCTGAAAGGAGGGTGTAGAGAGGCAGGTGTTGGCCTCTTCTCCCAAAGGACGAACGACAAGACCAGAGGAAATGGTCTGAAGTTGAGGCAGGGGAGATTCAGATTAGATATTAGAAACAACTACTTTACTGAGAGGGTGGTCAGGCACTGGAACAGCCTGCCCAGGGAGGTGGTGGAGTCACCATCCCTGGAGGGATTTAAGAAAAGTATAGACATGGCTCTTCAGGGCATGCTCTGGTGCCCAAGGTTATTGGTTTATGGTGAGGTGTTCAGTGTGGGGTTTAGTTGGTGGGTGCGGTGTTTTTGGTGGGCGTTTGGTGTGGTGTGTTTTGTATTTGTTTGGTGGGGTTTTTTTTGTTTTTTTGGGGGTTTTTTTTGTTGTTGTTGTTGTGTTTTTTTTTTTGTGGTTGGACTCGATGATCTCAGAGGTCCCTTCCAACCACTAAGATTCAGTGATTCTGTGATTCTGTGACACGTCACCCGCCACGGCCCTCACAGCTCAGGAGCTCGTCATGGAGCCAGCGCTGGCACATGGTGACTCCAGTGGTGACTCCCCACCACCCACCCACCCTCCTCCTGCTCCAGGACCCTGGTTTTATAGGATGCGATCCCAGAGCTTTGCACCATCCCTGTATCCATGGGGCTAAAACCATCCAAACATGAATCACCTTGAGGAGACGACCACAACACGGACAACTGCCCCGAGTCCACAAAGCCTTCGTGATGTCCCATCTCCCACAGCAGCCCAGATGCCCAGCCCCACAGCCTGCTCCTGACCCCACTGCTGGTCCCCAGGAGCCCAGGATGGGGTCACACAAACCTCAGTCAAGCTCAGCCCTTCACGGGTGCCCTGAGATCCCCAGCAGCCACCTCCATCCCCAGTCCTGTAGACACGGAGAAGCTGGACAGGACGACAGTCCCCAGGGTGACAGCCACAGACAGGAGAGGATGCTGAAGCCCAGGAGCTGGCGAGCCCTTTGCTCCAAGGAGACAGAGAGGGAGGATGTAGCTCCTGCCCAGAGCCACACAGCCCAGCAGAAGCCCTGGTAGGCGCCATAACGTGTTCACCTTGGCCAAAGGTCCTCTCCTGTCCCACGATGGACTCACCTGCCACGCTGGACAGAAGGATGGGAGGGCTCACGGGATGCACCCAGCGACGCCTCGCAGGATGCGCAGCATCCCTGTCCTGTCCCACCAGGGACACAGTGACCCAGGCTGACAGGAGAACCCCTGGGTGGCATTAACCACCAACCACAGCCCCCCTCAGCACGGCTGCCCATCTCTGGACGCCCAGCAGCAGATTTTGGGGAGCAGGATGCTGCCAGCTCTCCTGAGCTGGCTTTCTATTGTCTGACAGGAGAGCCAGCCCTCAGAAGTCCGTTTTTAGGTTACGTTTTTTATATTAGACTGGAACACTAAGTACCTTGGGCTTCCTCACTTCCCTTGCGATCATAGAATCATAGAATTGTCTGGGTTGGAAGGGACCTTTCAGATCATCTAGTCCAACCATCAACCTAACTGATACCAACCCTCACTAACCCATGTCCCTAAGCACTATGTGAAGCCGATCACAGAGACAGGGCTGCACCTCCTCCTTCCTGTATCTCTGCACGTTGGGACGCACTGAACATCTTCTCATGTTTAAAAGTAGGAAAATGTGATTTTAATGGAAATTTGACAGGAGTTTGGGGGCAGGCTGGCAGCTTGCACACAAATTAACTGTGCTTGTGCTTCCCAGCTCCAGCTCATCACCACCCCAAGGGAAGTCTTCTTTAGATAAATGCTGCCCTGAAAAACTCAAAACTATTCAAAAGGATTAAAACCACAGAGTTTTGAATGTCCAACAGACTTCTAACCATCCCCAGGACTCGGTTATTTCCTGTGTTTCCATCTGCTTTGATCTCACATGTGATTTATGCAGCCCTTGGCAGGTCACTCTACATTTTGGCTGCAGGTGGCACCGGAACATCGAGGTATCTCCTGCTCAAGGAACAGGTTCAGGGTTTCAGCTTCCATGACCTGGCCTGATTTTACCAGGATTTGTCCAAGAAAAGCTTCGAGACATCAGTTCCTCATCAGTTCCCCTCCTCCTTTGGAGGGGAGCGGGATTTGGGTCTCATCCAGGTAAATTTTTTCCTTCAATAACATCAGAAACCAATCTCCAGGGAAGTAACACAAAGCAGCAGGAAGAAGCACGAAGCAGAGGGAAGGAATACCCCATGGTAAGACAGAACAATGCAGGGGGTGGGCACACGTGCCTTCGGTGACATCCTGAACAGTGCCCTGTCCCCCGGGGGCTCAGCCCCATCCCCAGCCTCACACAGGAGCCCCCAGTTGTGAGAAGAGGCAGGAGCCAGACTCGGACGAGACAAACGAGGGACAAACACAAGTTTGGGTCTGTCCTTTGGAAAAAAGTAATAATCAGTGTAACCCATCATATTTAAGAAGGTCTTTTGCTTTGTTCTCACCTCTGCTCTCTCCTGCTTCCAAGCACACAGAAGGACCTGACCCTGCCTTGAGTCATCTCCATCCCCCACCGCTCCCGCTGCCCACAGCTCACAGGCCACTTTCTGCCGGACCTGTCCCAGCATCAAACTGGGACTGAATTTATAGCCACAGACCCGGGGATTGGAATCCAAAACCTCAGACCACGCTCTCACAAACCTGCTGTTTTTCCCAGTGTACACAAGGGTCCCAAACGCGCATCACTCTGCAGCACCATCACTCTGCAGCACCATCACTCTCCAGCACCATCACTCTCCAGCACCATCACTCTCCAGCACCATTGTAAGATCTTCAGAAGGAATAGGCAAGGAAGGAGAGGGGGGTGGCTCTCTACATTAGGGAGTGTTTTGACTGTAGAGACTCCAGCAACAATGAAGATGAGTGTTTATGGCTAAGGGTGAAAGGGAAGGCTGACAAGGGGGATTTTGTGCTGGGAGTCTGCTATAGACCACCCAACCAGGATGAGCAGGTCGATGAAATATTCTATAAGCAGCTGGTTGCAGTCTCACAAATGCCAGCCCTTGTTCTCTTTGGGGACTTCAACCTACCGGATGTCTGCTGGAAATATAACACAGCAGAGAGCAGACAGGCTAGGAGGTTCCTCGAGTGTATGGAAGAGAACTTCCCGACACAACTGGTAGGTGAGCCTACCAGGGGAGGTGCCTCACTAGACCTACTTTTCACAAACAAAGAGGGGCTAGTGGGAGATGTGGAGGTCGGAGGCCATCTTGGGCATAGTGATCATGAAATGGTTTTCAATTCTTAGTGAGGTAAGGAAGCGGGTTAGCAACACCTCCACCAGGTTGGACTTCCAGAGGGCAGACTTTAGCCTGTCCAGGACACTGGTTGGGAAAGTCCCTTGGGAGACAATCCTGCAGGGCAAAGGGGTCCAGGAAAGCTGGATGCTCTTCAAGAAGGAAATCCTAAAGGCCCAGGAGCAGGCTGTCCCCATGAGGCGCAAAATTAAAGGGCGTGGAAAATGGCCAGCCTGGATGAACAAAGAGCTCTTGATGGGACTCAAGGAAAAAAGGAAGGTTTGCCACCTTTGAATGAGAGGACAGACAACTCAGAAGGAGTACAAAGATCTTGTTAGGTTATACAGAGAAAAAATTAGGAAGGCAAAAGCCCAGCTGGAACTCAACCTGGCCATTAATATAAGGGACAACAAAAAAAGTTTCTATAAATACGTCAACAAAAAGAGAGTCAGGGAGAATGCCCATCCCTTACTGGATGCGGGGAAACATTGCGACCAAGGACGAGGAGAAGGCTGAGATACTTAATGCCTTCTTTGCCTCTTTAATTGTCAGACCAGCCACCCCCAGGGTATTCAGCCTCCTGGGCTGGAAGATAAGGATGGAGAGCAGAACAAATCCCCTGTAATCCAGGAGGAAGTAGTTAAGGATTTGCTTATGCACCTGGACACACATAAGTCTATGGGGCCGGATGGGATCCACCCAAGGGTACTCAGGGAGCTGGCGGGAGAGCTCACCAAGCCTCTCTCCATTATCTGTCAACAGTCCTGGTCAAAAGGAGAGGTACCAGATGACTGGAGGATGGCCAATGTGACGCCCATCTACAGGAAGGGCCAGAAGGAGGATCTGGGAAACTATAGGCCTGTCAGTCTGACCTCGGTACCGGGAAAGATCATGGAGAGGATCATCTAGGGAGAGCTCTCACGGCAAGTGCAGGGCAGGGAAGGGATCAGGATCACCCAGCATGGGTTTATGAAAGGGAGGTCCTGCTTAACCAACTTGATCTATGACCATGTGACCCTCTTTCTCGATGAGGGGAAGGCTGTGGACATTGTCTACCTGGACTTTGGTAAGGCCTTTGACACCGTCCACCAGGGCATTCTCCTGGAGAAACTGGCGAATCACGGCATAGACAAGTGTACCCTCTGCTGGATAAAAAACTGGTTGGATGGCCATGCCCAGCGAGTTGTGATTAATGGGGCGAAATCTTGTTGGCAGCTGGTCACCAGTGGTGCCCCTCAGGGCTCAGTTTTGGGGCCAGTCTTGTTTAATATCTTTATTGATGATCTAGAGAAGGGGATTGAGTGCGCCCTCAGTAAGTTCGCAGATGACACCAAGCTGGGTAGGAGTGTTGATCTGCTTGAGGGCAGGAGCCAGCAGTGTGCCCAGGTGGCCAAGAAGGCCAACAGCATCCTGGCCTGTGTCAGGACCAGCGTGGCCAGCAGGAGCAGGGCAGTGATGGTGCCTCCATAATGGGCACTGGTGAGGCCATCTTGAGTACTGTGTTCAGTTCTGGGCCCCTCACTACAGGAAGGACATTGAAGTGCTGGAGTGTGTCCAGAGGAGAGCCACCAAGCTGGGGAGGGGTCTGGAGAACAAGTCATACAAGGAGAGGCTGAGGGAACTGGGCATGTTTAGTTTGGAGAAGAGGAGGCTGAGGGG